ACAACCAAAAGTTCAGACAGCTGCAATGAAGGATTAGTTGTGGGTTTTTCTCGCTGCCTTGCTACAAACTGCATCACAGCTCTATGTTCAAACATTATTAAATGGGAATGTTTTCTCTGGCACCAACTACTTCTCCCCACAGTTTAAGTATTGATTTTTTTTTAACTGAAGTAGCTTTGGTTTACAGCTCACATTAGAACTTAAAAACATATTTCCATAGTAGCTGGCATATGCAGGCAACTGTTTATTCTCAGTACCAGCCATAATAAACACTTGTACTTTTATAATCCAACAAATCTTTGTCTAATCACAACTTCGTTTTCAGAGCTGTAAAATTTGCATGCTATTTAAGCCATTTTTAAGGAAGACTCTTTAGAAAACGAAAATTTTCTTAGTCTGTCTTCACTGTCTGTACAGACCAATAATTAGCAGTAAAGAATGCGTGAGATAGGATAGATATGTATTGCAAGAGAATTGTATTGCAGCATTGAGAAAAACCTTTGTAAAGCAGGGCATGCTAATTGATTTTCAGAGGAATAGATTGCTTTTTAGAGACAAACCTTTATGCGATCTAGAACTTATTCTGGTACATGTGGGAAAAGAAGGTAAATCCTTGGTTGGATAAGATGGGTTTTTCACTGGAACTGAGGACAGCATCCAACTAACTTTTAAGTTTATCTTTTAGTATTCTGAAGTGGTAAAGCTCTGGAAAATGGAGCAATTTGAATTCTGTTTTGGCACATGCACTGTCAACAGAATTAATGAAGTTCTGCTTGCAGAATGATTACTGTGAATGAAAAAGCCCTGCACGGTATTTGACTTCCTGTGGAATTTATCAAAATTGAACATCCCAAAGGTATTTTGTTATTTGATGCTGGTTATTGGGAGTCACCAAGACACAGTGAGTACGGAGTCTGTGATGCTGTCTTCTGGGAACACAACTGAGCTAGACTTGAGTGAAATCACTACTGATGTTTTTCATTTTAATACTGATATTTATGATGATGAACTAGTCAGGATCCAGAAGACAAAGTACAGGACTGTGTACAGGCTCTTGTGCTGGCCGTCTGCCACTAGATGCACTTCATCCACCAGTCACCTATAATTCAGTGTCTGAATTACATGATCACATGCTCGATACATGGCAAAGTTATTACAGACTTGATTGTGGGCAGCAAAGGAGGATCGAAGACTAAGAGCAGCTATAGAAACAGCTAACTTTGTTATCACAGATGTGAGAAATTATCAAAAAGAGTAAGGCTGCTGCTCCACAACAAGCACCACTACTGCTGAAGTTGATATGAATCACCAGATGCGTGGTAGCAGAGCTGCATCCAGTCACAAAAAGATGATGGCTTCACCAGAATGATGGCTCCAGTGTCATATCATAGACCTTGTCAAGATAAGAAAAGGTGATGGAATATAAACAGCAGAGGCTGCTAACATTGGAGGCAGCAGTAACGGCAAAACTCATAATGGCAAGAATTTGGGGTGGCAGAAGAGAGGAAAGAACTGTGTTCCCTCGGCCTCCCAAGAAGAGCTGGCAGGATCAGAAAAGTGGAGGAAAAGACACTAGTTTATTGCAGTCACATGTAAATGTTGGCATTTAACAATAGCAGCAGTGAGAGAAAAGTCAGTTGAAAGAACCTGAGAATGCTGAAAAAAGCCACAATAAATACCGAATAACTGGAAGAGGAGATATTTCTCATTAGAAAAGGACAAGAGTTTGAGAGCTACTTGTACTTATTAAGATTGAACTGGCTTGGGACCATATGGAGTGGAAATTAAGAAAGCCAGAAAAAAATCCACAGATACTCAAACAATGTGAAAAAGTGCCCTTTTTGAAGGCTGCTAGAATAGTAGTTGCCTCCTCAGGTTGAACAGAATGGTAAAGTGTATCAGACCTCATGGAGATTTAAGAAAAATAAATCATCACCTCATGGACATTTTAGTAAACCATGATATTCCCACCTGAGAATGCTGAACGGCAAGGGATTTCAGCTGTAAGCTTGAGAGCTGAGGAAATGACTGAACATGAAAAGAGATCATCTAAGAAAGCCCTAAAAACAGTCACAAGCTTACAAGAAAATTGATAACACCTGAGGGACTTGCAATGGTTAAATAATGGTTTGACAAAAAGGAAAAGCTAGGGCTCATAGGCACTAAATGTATCCCCAGTGTAAACCATTGCAGGCAAATGAATCACTGAACAGGTTAACTCTAGTGCTCAGTGCTTTACTGTTAGAACAAAAATATTACAATAATTTACCATGCATGCTGCATAGTTTTTTTTAATGTTAAACAGTTACTGTCAGTCAGTGTTGGAGAGGGGAAAGGAGTTGCTTAACAGGAAAAGCCCAGCAAAGCAAAGGGATCTTGTAACTGTCCTGTAATCTCAGACTGTATGGGAACTGCTGCATCACAGCCTGAGCCTCTGATTGAGCACCTGAGGCGAGCACTGAGTCAGCCATGGAGCACAGGTGAAGGCAATTCAGCTGTGTGATGGAAGGAGTGGAGCCTGGCTGCACCTCTCCTAGACCCATTTAAGGGCTGACTGCCAGTGGGGAAGGGTCTCTTCCTGGGAATCATTTCCTGTGGGAAATATTGTAAGCCTACAACATAGGTAAGTATTTTCCATTTATTATTGTCCTGTAGCAATAGTCTTACTTAGCTTAACTTTCCGGTATCTTTCTTAATTATAGCATCTGTATGTTCTTTGATTATGCACAGACCTGCTGTTGCATATTCCCCTCATTTCATCAAAATTGGTTCAGAAGCTTTCTGAAAACATGCTATTTCCATAAATGTACATAATCATGGAATATCTCAGACCCCGTAGTCTACCAATGTAAAATACAGGTTCTCCTCTTTGAAGTCTTCAGGGTACTTCAGTATTGCACTGTGGTACCTAAAAGTACTACAGTACAACACCGATGTGCCCTAGACTTTTGAGACCACACAAAGAGTCAGAGCTGAGCTACTGAGTCAGTTTGGTAAATAAGAAAAAAATTAAATAAAAACATTATTAAAAATAAAATAAAAAATCAATGTAGATGGATATTTGTGCCCTGACCAGCTCTGTATCCTCTAGAGTCAGGGTAGCTGCAAAGCTAGCGTGTCAAAGATGAAGCTATGTGGCCATATGATTTTAAACTGAGTAGTACAGTTCCCAAGAAGGAAATCTGGAGCTGTTCCAAGCAGGTTGGAAAGCAGAAAGACAAAAGAGGCCTCTAGAGCAGTAATCTTTTTTCTGGAAGGCTTCTGCTCCTCAAACAAGGAAACTCGAGGAATTTCTGTTCTGCTCTGCACTGGCGCGGCCTCACTTTGAGCACTGCGTGCAGTTCTGTGCACTGCAATGTAAGAAAGGTGTAAAACAGTTAAAGATCATTCAGAAGAGGGCTGCAAAGATGGTGAAGGGTCTAGAGGGAAAGAACTGACAACCAAGTCTCTAGAGTTTTAGTCTGCCCAGTGACCTTCTGAAAAAGCAGGAGCCAAAGGGAGGAAAGAAGCTGTGAAGCAGCTGAGGACACCTTCCCTCTTTTAGTCTATTGGACAGTTTAGTAATAACTGTTACCTCCTGCATCTGTACAAGGCATGAAAGCAAACCACTAGAAGCACCCAGAAAAAAAAGGGGTGCATTGGGGTCACCTGGTACCGTGTCAGCATAGGCACAGCAAGCTGTCATCAGAAACACAACACAACTGCCTCAGTTTTCTTAGTTCAACAACATTCTGAAGGATTGCTTGGCATGTTGTTATGTAGCTGTGGTGTTAGGGAAAGGTTCTGCACCAGGGGGCATGGGATGGGCTGCCCAGGGCAGTGGGCACAGCCCCAAGTGCCAGAGCTCAGGGGGTTTGGGCAGCACTGATAGACAGTGGGTTTGGATTTTGGGTGGTCCTGTGTGGAACCAGGGGTTGGATTTGGTGATCCTTGTAGGTTGGGGTAATCTGTGATTTGAGCAACAGATTGGAGAAGTTACCCCAGCAGGGTATTATAACACCTATATTTCAAGTGGTGCTTTACAGTTAATTGCTTTTAAATTTTAAAAGCAGTTAAATAATTATATAAAACAATAACAAATGATGTAACAAGAAAATCAGATACTTCCTCTGTAAATGGTAAGACAAGCTGCATGTGAAGCTAGGCAAATTTCCTGAAGTTCAAAAGAGCCTTAATAGATATTCAGCATGAGTCATTTATGCCCTTCTCTGGAGGTGTTCAAGGCCACATTGGATTTGGGCAACCTCTGATCTAGTGGAACGTTTCCCCAGCCACGGCAGGGAGATTGAAATTAGATGGTCTTTATAATCCCTTCCAATCCAAAGCATTTTATGATTCTATTACTGCTGTCACAGGCTAGAGGATGCCTTAACCTCATCCTGTGGATTTTCCTTCTTGCTCTCTGTAAATGCTCAGCAGAGCAGACACTATGCTTACACACCATGTGTAAGCTACAGAAGCAACAACTCAGCAAGACAGTTCGTGCTTACCTTTTCAAAAACATAAAGCAGATGCTCTTTTGGCAATTCATGTTCATTCAACTGAATTTGGATTTAGCCATAAAGGCAATGAATGTCCACCTCCCCTTGATGTAAAGTAGGTTGAAACAACTTGTAGGACTTAATTAAAAATAAGGTTAATGTAAAGGATAAAATCATGGATCCTTTGAGGTCAGTGAGATTTCTGTTCTTCAGTACTCTTGGGCAATAACTCACTATTCATCTTCAACATCTCTGGGGCATAAAAGTACTTTTGCAAAAGTACTTTTTTTACAAAAGAGTACTATCATTTAGTTAATAAAAACGTCAGGAATACACCTAAAATTGACTCAGTCTCCACCTGTACTTATTTTTGAATGAAAAATAGTCCCAGCAGAATAAACAAAAATCCATGCAAACATTCTTCAAGAGGATTCTAAATACATAGCTTAAAATTACATTACACAAGATTGGCCCCACCTTGCACAGGAACCACAATTTGTTTCAACAGAAAGACTGGTAGGAAGTAGGAATTATTTATTGTTCAATTCTAAATGACCTTTCTTAAAACTGAATGAAATTCCACGTGAAAGTAAGGTCAAAAATGTTTATAGAATTCTTAAAGCAGTTTTTTGAAGCTCACCAGTTGTGCTTCATTAATCCTTTCAAGCTGTTTGAAGTCCTTGTTTGTTACCTTAACATCTGTGAGATGCACTGGGATTCAGTGTCACTTTATTTAATCATCACAGTCATATATATAAATAATACAATTTATCTGCACTGTTAAAGCATATGGCACAGCACTGGAACAAGAAATCTTAGTGTCAATCCAGAAAATAAGAATTGTCAGTTTTGTCGTGTTTGTGTAAAGAAAGCTTGGGAGGAAAACTCATAAGCACCAATTGTGTAAAGGCACAGTGAAAACCCATGCTCATGAAAGAGCCAGTGCAGCACAGAGGTGGTATCTGAGGGGTAGATGTGATGTGTTTTGGAGAGTAAAGGAACAGTTTTGAGGTATATCTATCTGGAACTACAAGTGACCAAAAACAATAATAAGGCACAACAGTGAGCGTTCGCTTTCGTAGAATACTTCATGGTGATTTCACTCATCAGGATTCATTCTTTTCTTCCATTTCTAACAACTCATCAAGGAATTCCACCACTTCACCCTAGAAAAGATTAAAATTAAGAATAGGTTAACTGTGTACTCCAAAATGAGTAGTGTTTACCATTAAAACAAACTGTAATAACTAGTGTCACATAAACTGGTTTTTAACACTTTGATGTATACTAGCACAACAAGCCTGTAAAATGCAAATAAATGGCCCATACAGGTAAACCACACATTCACTTACTTGCAAGGACATACAGAGCTTAAAAGAAGAAAATGCTACACTCCACATTAAATCTTGTACTTTTTCAGGTGTTTAAATAGACAACGAAATCCTCACATTTAGAAAGTAGACATATAAATGTTTAAAGCACCTGTTAAATTAGGAATTTAAAGGATTAAAGAAATAGGAATTAGAAAAAATGTTGAAATACCATGAAAAACTGAAGCTTCAAAATTCAAAGACAAAGTGTTTTTGTAAACCATAATTATGACTTTGCATCTCTCTCCTTCAGCAGTTAATGTTCTTTGGTATGCCCTTCAAAATACACTTTCTCCATTTTCACCTGTGAACATTCACATTTTACTTCAGAGCAGCAAAAACACAAAGAACCACAGATACTAGAATGTTTTCCATATTACAAACAATCTGCTTTTAAATTCAGTTCCATAATATTGTACTTACAACTTCCAACCTTCTCATACACTGTACCAACACAACGTAACAATCAAACTTACTTTCTTTAAACTGCTTTTGGCATAGTCACATACCACAGACTTGTGTTCCTGGGGTTAGCCAAAGTACCTTTGAGGATACTGTCCTCTCAGCTGGAGTTTACTGCCTTGCCAACCAAGCTACAGTAACTGAGCTACATCTGGTAGCCCAAGGTCACACCTTGAGCACTGGTTGAAAGAGCTGACTGTAAACGTGCAGCAGCACCTCAGACTGCACAAAATTGATGGTAGCAGCTCATCTGCCTGCACCCTCAGAAATAGCAGTGTTTTCTTATTTCCCCTCCATGCACAGTTCAGGCACATTGATGTCTCAGCTTGTACATATTTTCACTTTTTGATACAACTGCAATACTGCGCTGTAAGAGAGACACAAATGGTCAGCTTTGAATTTCCAATCTTTTATTCTAATAACTACAGTGCTGTGTTAAAATGTTGTAATTTAAATTATGGCTTAAAAATCCAGTCCGTCCTTTCTTGACATAATCCTCTGTGTTTTAAAAAGGTTGCAATATGTAATTTAGCCTTTTTCCAGAACAAGTAGCAACTTTCTGATAGGGGAAAAAAATTAAGATGTCTGAGCAGTCCTTACTCTCAGATTAAAAAAAAAAAATCAGAATTTAAAACAGTTGTGTTGAAAGAAAGCCAGCCTTGTTGGATTGCTCACTTTCATACCCCCTTCACCACTCAAGTCTGAGTCTCTGTCAACTCTACCAGGTTTTGGAGGTTATGTTTAAGGTTTATGGTTAATGAAGGCTGCAAACAGTAATTTGTAACCTTAATTAAATTTTAAGCACGTTTCTATCTTGGAAGGTATTCGTTAGCAGAACAGCACCTTCCAGATACGTGCAGTTTCAGACTCAAAAGTTAACTGCTCTGTTTTGTGATAAGGAAAGAGCATTCTGTTTGAGGACAGTGAAAATAACAGGAAGAAATAGTCAAAATACAGAATTTCTCTACAGAACAATTGCATTATGGACGTGGTGGTTAAAAATACTAACAGCACATTTTTCAGACGTGGCCAGCAAGGAGAGAAATAATAAGAACCAAGCAAACAAACAACAGCAAAAAGAAATGAGAGGAAAGCCAGCGTAAGTAACTGCTGCTTTTGTTCCCCATTTCACAGTTCCATCTTAAAAGACTGTTGAGTTTTCACAACAGTGGTGGTTTTAGAAAGTCCTGAAGGATGGCAATTTATTTTGCTTTGAATTTATTCAAAACATCTAAATTTCCAGTTCAACAAAAACACAAGAAAAAAATGCCAGAACTCTCATATTCTCTGCTTGTCTTCCTGATTGCAGGAAGTCTGGCTACTGGAAAACAGGAATTCAACATTTCTGCACGTTTTCTTTTGTTAGAAGTATTTGGATTGCCTAAGGAGCCCAATCACATGAGGAACTTAACACTGCTTCACAAATGCATATGAAGAAAATAGCCACATGGTCCAGCAGTCACTATGTAAGCCTTTGAAACAAAGGTTCAGAGGACTTAAGGACAAGTTTTCTAGCACAACTTCTAAAATAGCAGGCATAAACATGTAGTCTTGAAGGACTACAGAGATGCAGCCCCCACTAACTATAAACTGAGTTACCAGATTAGGAATGCACTTATCTCCTTACAGGGCTCTCAATTCTAATTTAGACTGATTCTCTTACACCTCAGAATCACCATTTAATAAAAGAATAACAGATACTGAAAATGAATTCTTTGTTCAGTCTACCTGCAAAGGCAGCTCTCAAAAAGCCTGAGAGACAGGGTGAAGGGAGTAAGCATCGGGCTGTATGATCTAGAATAAAGTACAAGGAAGACACTGAGATGTCAATGCTGTGACTTTAGTAACTCAGTCAAATGTGAACGTAATTCAATTTGAGATACTGTCACCTTCATCTGTAAGGGGGGATATTCCAGAAGACACAGGAGCTTGTATCACTTACACAAGAGAAGGCTCTGTGGAGACCTTACTGCAGTCTTTCAGTGTATAAAGGGAATCTCCAAGAAACAGCAGGACAGACTCTTTAACGGGGTGTGTAATGGTGAGACAAGGGGAAACAGTTTTAAATTAAAGAGTAGGTTTAGATTAGACATAAGAAATAAATTCTTAACTCAGAGAGTGGTGAGGCACTGGCATGGGCTGTCCAGAGAAGCTGTTGATGCTGCATCCCTGCAGATGTTCAAGGCCACACTGGATGGGGCTTTGGGCAGCCCATTCCAGTTGGCGAGGAGTCAGAACTAGATGGTCTTTAAGGTTTTTTTCTAACCCAAACCATTCTATGATTCTATCCAGACATCTAATTTTTTTCTTCAGGCATGTTTTCAAACCAAGAAACTTGCAAGAGCCCAAAGTTTTAAATGTGAAAGGATGTTTAAAAAAAGAAAAGCTACACAGCAGTATTTGAAATAAACTTGCCTGAAATCTCCAGAGTATGAAAGTCATCTTTAAAAATGGGTATGATAAGTCCTTTCTGTCTAATGAGAATTTCTGAGGAGTAGAATTTGAAACATAGCTAGAAGGTGGAAATAGTTGCTTAAGCAATAAGCATCCAGAAAATATGCTGTAATGCAATTTAATAATTGCCTGGATGTTGATTATTTTTAAAAAGATGAATAATCGCTATCACAGTTAAAGACAAAAGGTGTAGTTGAAGTATTTTTGCCTGCACTTCACAGTAAGAATGTAAAACATCCAGACATTGAGCATACTGTAGTTGGCATCCTGGTGAAAGGTGATAATACTACATCAGAAGAGTTTATCACGTTGTTATGCTAACAGTTACGACCAGTTTTTGCTCCGTTAGCGCTCCCTTGACACTTCATCAAGCATTTTGCATGTCTGATGTCAGTAAATACTTCCTAGATGTTAATTCCAGGAGAAAAGTTCAATGCTATCCCACGTTCCATCAGAAGAGGGGAGGCCAGCAGGTGTGGGAGGTGACTGTCTCCTTCTATTCTGCCCCTGTGAAGCCCCATCTGGAATACTGCATCCAGCTTTGGGGCCCCCTACACAGGAAGGATGTGGAGCTTTAGGACAGGGTCCAGAGCAGGGCCATGAAGATGATCCAAGGACTGCAGCATCTCCCCTATGAAGACAGGCTGAAGGAACTGGGCTTGCTCAGCCTGGATGAGAGAAGGCTATGGGGAGAACTCATTGCAATATTTAAAGAGATCTCATAACACATGAGGGAGATCAACTTTTTACAAGGGTGGATAGTGACAGGACAAAGGGGAACGGTGTTAAACTAAAGGAAGGGAGATCTAGATTAGATGTCAGGGTGGAGTTCTCTGCTGAGAGAACAGTCAGGTGCTGGAACAGGTTGCCTAGAGAGATTGTGGATGCTCATCACTGGAGGTGTTTAATGCCAGGCTAGGTGGCGACCTGGGCAATCTGAGCTAGTACTTGATGAGTTGATGATTGAGTTGGCAGTGCTGCCTGTGGCAGAGGGGTTGAAACCTGATGGTCCTTGAGGTCCCTTCCAACCCAAGCCATTCATGATTCTATGGCTCTAAGAAAAGCCACCTGGCTACTTGTATCTGATAACTTCACCTTAGCTTTCAGACCTGGAATCAGAAAATGATTCTCTGGTATGATTTAAGCATTCAGTGTGACAGACTTTTTCTTCCTACCTACGTAAATAACAATCACAACAAATTCTACATGTGAAGATGGCTGCAAAACTATAATTTTTCCTGCTGACAACTACTACAGGGAACACCAGCCATCTAGCTCAAATGCAGGTTATGTAAACGTACTGCTCAGACAGTGCTGATGCAAATCAAGGTTCTGCCCACAGCGTGATGTAGCTGTCTGGCTGGTAGCTAGTAGGTCAATATGTGAATTCTGATTGAGCGTGGGGAAGGGCAGATTTTGCTGCTGATAAGTACTTAGCTGATCATTAGGCAGTTTACCACTGGAGATCACACATGCAGACTGCTTAGTCCACTCCTGAGAAGCACACCTTTATTGTGAGTTGTTGTCCCCTCATCCAGTCCCTGCCTCTAGCTTTGATCTGATGGCCAGAAGTATCTGCTGCGGGGGTGCGACTCTGTCAGCACTCCATGAAATACCAACCTGTATGACAAACCTCTTCCCTCTCTCCAGCCAGGGTCTATCAGCAAAGTGGGAATGACAAGAGGAATGCATGGGAAAAGATGGACAGGTATAGCCTGAAATACGGGAGGATACTGAGTAGCAGCAGGGGAATGTTCCCAGGCAGGTGTGAGTGGTAGGAAGAATCAGACAAGCTGATCAACTGGAGCTTCCAGTTAGCTGTTAGATACGCAGATTGAGTACCCTTGGCTTAGAGAAACAACTGGACAGAGGCTCAAACA